TCTGAGTCGAGATTTAACTTATCCTGATCTAAAATATCCATCAAAGTAGTCATTTCAATATCTAAGAAACTTGAATCATTTAACACCTCTCGAGTCAATGAAGAAATTAGCTGGATAAGTTGGAGAGAAGACACACAAACATCAACTTTAGCTAATAGAGAATCAGAATTCTGCTTACCTCCATACTTCTTTGCACAAGACGGGGCTCCTCGAATAACTTAGCAAACTCGTATGCACGACACGCGTTCCTTGGACTTAAATCAGACCACAAGAACTGGGTACATTGTTCAACTACGTGAGGAAGCATATACTTTTTCGCCACGTAACACAATTCGCAAGCTTTATCGAATGAAGTTATATTGATACGACCCGAATAAATGTACTCCATCATCGATTGAAATGCGTCTGGCTGTACATCTGGTATGATAATGGGATCGGATTTATCCGCCATTTGACCAAAGAACATACATTCAAAGACTGGAGAAGTCATAGCTAATATGAGTTTGTGGCCAGCGATGATGTGTTGATTCGGCGGAGTTCCAACCAAGAAACGGCAATCGGACCATTTTCCTGTCTGCAATAAGTGGGCACCGCGCTCTTTAATTTCATGAAACTCATCTTGCCAATCAAACTCCATTTTACGTCTTTTCCTTATTTTCGCAATTTTTAACCGATTTTCTTTTCTTTTTTTTTTTTGACAGAAACTAAAACTTTCCTGCAAAAGAATATTTTTCCTTAATGCGTTGTTGATTTTTCCTATCTTTTTAGCAGGATTGTCAAATTCTTTCAAGAGGATACATCTGAGAAGGTTCACAGCAATTGCGCTAATTAAGATATTTGCCAAAGAAAATTATTTATCGCCCACATATACGTTTGATAAAACTAATTGTTAATAATATAAATTCTTCATTTATTAATTTCATAATAATAATAAATCTTGATAACATTATGTTGACACCACCTTGACAACTCTGGTTGCAGTATATCGATATCAAAAGCTTGCAGTATAGTTGCTTCAAATTTAAATCTAAAAGAAAAAATTATTTAATATTTTTGTCGAAGGGACAGAATTACATAATGGATTTTAAAAATATGGATTTTTGTGTGTTGTGCAAATGAAAAAGTACTATTTTTAACCAAACAAAGTCAATTTTTACACGTTACGACACTTATAGTAAAACGATATGCTAATTTTGAGCAGGTATATGCAATACCTGGAAAGACGTGCCACAGACGCAATTCTTATTAAAACGATTCATTGCTATTTACGTTTTGAATTGATCACACCTTGTTTTGTTTTCTTGTATTCAAGCTACAGGTTGTAATTTTTTAAATATTTTGATGAAATTTTCTATACCGATATATTTTGCCCAAGGACGAACCCTAATGAAAATTGTTCAGATCGAACCACTTTTTCGATTACATTTTATACAAAACCTTCTTTTGAAACGTCATTGTATGAATAATTATATTAAATAATCAAATAAAGAAGGGGTGGTGTGATGCGGCACACTATGATGTCTTCTCTTGTTATTATAAAAAAGAGAAAGCGGAAAGACAATTTATCTGTAACCGAATTTATTATTCGGCTTCAAAAACTTCATACCAAATCTTTAACTTTTTTATGGGAGCATTTATTCTTTTCGAACGTCTCTCAGCTTCATATCTATTCAACGGTTCTCTCGCTTAAGCTAAAATAACATTTTGTTGTTTGAAAATATTTTTTAATAAATATAAAAACTTTCTAAAACTGCCTTCTTCTTTTTCTTGAATACTTAGCAAATCACCAACAGATGACTCTTTGCGTTATAAAGAGAACCATAGTGTGAACACAAAGTTCTTTGCCTTGAGCCTTAATAAAGTTCACAATTAATTTACGTTCTTGATTAACATTAGATGATAATGTTTGTTTCTTGACACTAGTAAATGCTTACACATCTCGCAAGTGTAGCATCCGTCATTATATATCTTTTTTACATATTTTTCCTTCCAGTGAATATATTTTAAGAAGCTCTTATTTTGTTTTATTTATTTAGTTACTTAATTACTTAAAATATTTTGCTTGGTTTTTTATATCGTTGTTGACTTAATTATTGTTATAATTGTAAATATTACTATGTATTTTTACACTTTTTTAATTTTTATTTATTTATTCACTATTTTTTTGCTGTTAAAAAATGTAAGAGGCATTCATTTATAGAAAATTTTAAAATCTTGGTTAACACTAGAAAGTAATATACTTACACGCTTAGATTGGAGAAACACAGAGGATGGATTCGTCACCAATATGCTGGAGTAATGTACACTACTTGGTCCGTATTAATGATAAGTCTTATTTTTTGAAATCCAATTTGCTGAAATTGTTCTCTGAACATATCCCTAATAAAATGAGCTTGGTTAAAAACTCCAAACTGTGTGTGTACATAAATGTATGCGAATTATATGATAGTATTAAGCATTCTTAGAGGTGTGTCTGTAAAACTGGTAATTGCATGGCTATCCACAATGAGTGCCGATGGTGGGTCCTTTATAAAATGATGGAATTACGAGTCGATCTGCCCCGCTATTACTATCTTCGCACAGGATGTCCATTGTTAAGTAAATGGTTCTGGGCCATGATAAGCCTTTTTCCGAGTTGTAGATATCGTTCATCAGGGTATCATCATTTGTGTATTTCTTCTGCAAAGACAAAACAATTCTGCGTAACTGTACGACTCCTGATGTTTTGTAGATGTGTTCGTTGGGCAACTGCTTTGTCGGGTTTTGATAATATTTGGCAATGTATCTTCTCTCCTTTTCTCTCCTTCCAACTTGAGCAATAATTTAGTGCTTTGATCCCCCACGTTTTGCGACCCGAGAAGTAGCTGTGAAATATTTTCACCAGGTGTGGAATCGACACCTAGTTCTGTTAGCTTGTAGAGAATATCTACGTGGCTGTCGGAGTCAAAGGCTCTTTGAATATACACGGAAATGACTACTTTCGGAGATGATTTGTTACATCGTTTTGAAACTTTATGCTTAGTATGGTTGTTGAGTGGTGCAATTTGAATCCGAATTGAGTTTTTCTTTCAATGTTCGAACACTTTCTCAATGATTGACAGCAAGGAGGTTGGAAAGATATGAGCAACCATTTCGATATTATGAATAAAACATATATTTCACTCGATTTCTTTAGATTCTATACATACAATTTTAAAAAGATTTAAATATAATCAAATACATCGAATCGAAAGTTTCGTAATGCATAAATACGTACACACATAATTTGAAATTCTATATAAATCAGAAATAAAAACATATATTCAAAACGTAGACATAAGTTATGTATGTAATTGTGCATGTATGCCCTTGTGTAAATGACTCAAATGATCCTCCAAGATTAAGATTACCGATCTCTCGGCAATTCACTCCAATGCTGAACGCGATTGTTCTGGGGGTGTTAAAAACACAATAGCCCGGATAAGGCCATCACGTACTGATTCATTTGGGTCGCCTACATTGAATTTGAAACGTACGCGGTTGAAAACAACTTCGGGTACACAAGTGTACATAGGATACCACCCAACTTTATTAAATGTAACGAATATCTTGTAAAACTGATTGCGGTTTATGTAAACGGGACGATCAAATGACACCTCCAACACTGAATCGTAGCGTACCCGTGACGTACAGTGAGTATAACTAAGCCGCGATCCACGCATGTCCTGTATATGAGCATACAAAATCTCGGTATACCGCTCAGAAAAACCTGCTGTATTCATAAGCTCGCCACAAAGTACTTGAGTTGGAACTTGCACACCTAAACAAAATATAGCAACAAAAATAGGTTTGTAGAAAAAAGTGAGAGCAACGATATTTAATTTGCGTCAAACTTTTGATACTCATCACTAGATCATACTGAAGCGGGTAATCTTCGAGACATTATGGTAATTGTATAATATACGCTACGAACTATGCACAAATGCTTTATATAAATATTTGTAATATTGTTGAGTGGGTAATCTACTCATATACAGTAAGATATACGGATGGAAAATACTCAAAAATATAAATTTGTTTAAAATTTGTCAGCATAGCTAAAACACACACTAAAATTTATATAGACCTTCAAGACATTTGGCTAGTCAGCGGACCCCTACGACTGATTTTTAAATTTAAGCTCGCAAGAATGAGGCCATGGCAATTGCTCCTAGATAATGATTTAAAAATCGTAGTCGTGTATCCAACAAACGGACTATCGGAGGTTTCTACATCAGTTTTATGCGTTTACACTGATTAGAAACACACTAACTTTTTTGGTGTACATTTCAATCTGCTGTAAAACATTTGAAAAACCTTCTACTAAATAGAAACGACAGACTCTTTGTGATGAGTACAACAGGGCAAAATATAATTTACCAGTTATCCAAATGTTGCTATCAACTTGAAATGTGAGACCACAGTCCGAAATGCTAGTATTGTGAAAATCGTACTGTTGATTTACAGTACGTACGCAGTAAGAGCGGCGCGTATCGTTGGCAGCAATATCTGCATCCTGCGATACTGCAGCGGTAGCAGCAGGGCCCGTACCATTAGATAAGCTGTTGCTGCACACTCCGCTAACGTGAAACGAATTTAAAACACCGCCAACGAGTTGACACTGAGGCTGCGCCTCGTATGGGGAGAAAATACATCCATTATTAGCGGGAGGCAAACCATGCCTACCAATAAATGTTAAGTCTCGTTGGCGTTGTTCGAAATAGTTCCGGGTACAGCGGGAACTACAGAAGCCCTCTGGCATAGGGCAGTCACTTATTGATGGGCTAGAAATTTTCATCAAAAGTGTTAGCGCTTCATTTTCCTGCAACAGATTAGAACGTGCTGGTCCTTCGGCGAATTGTTGTGGGGTCATGGTAAGAAACCGAATTTTCTTGACCGCTTGACGCAGCATAGTTTCGTCCACTGGCACACGGTGGTTTTCCGGAAGATATAAATTGTTAACAATTGCAGCCGCAGATGTTGACGGTCTTTCAATTAAACTTGCGTTTCTGTGAGCATTGGTGGCGTTAGTTGCCACAGTCTCGTTTTCCACCAAAACAACGTCCGGTGATGCTGAACGTTCAATACATGTTTCCACATTCGGTTCGTTTGCTTCATCCTCTCGTTCATCCACCAAAGCGTTTACATCTGGTTCCATTTTAATCTCGATTACATCGGTTTGTTTTACTGAACCATCTGTGCCATTGACGGACGACTGGGACGATAATGATTCCTTTCTAGAAGCACTCCTTTCGTTTGCGAAACGCACTAAGGCATTGAATAAATCAAGTTCTGAGTCGAGATTTAACTTATCCTGATCTAAAATATCCATCAAAGT